TTTTAGTGAAGACTGAGGCAAAAGAGGCATTAAACATCTCAGCTCTTGGTGTTGTCCATTATTAGCTCTCCTTCCCTGATAAATAGCGGACCTACACTTTCCTTTGTCTGACTCTTGCTCCTAAGGTATTTATAAAACCTCTTCTTATCGCCTTTTATATCCATGGCTAGATGTAACTCATGTTATGCCTTAAACTTTCTGATTTTATATCTACATGCTTGTGCTATTCTTTGGTACTCATTATTAGCAATTTTTCCATGTTTCCACCTTTTGTAGGATTTCTGTTGGATTTTCAGGTCATAAAAATGTTCCTGATGTGGAATACAAGGGATGTTGTTAGACTATACAGAATAAGAAAAGACCAAGAGTAAATGCAGATACTTTGAACAGACCCATTTAACAGAGTGGACTAACTGTTCCAAATATTTTATGGTACCACAAGACAGCCAGTTTAAAGCAGTAGTGGATTGTGTGTGTTCTAACCCAACCAAAGACTGGGTCTCTCTATTGAACAAGAAAATTGTGGCCATATAAATATCACTAGACTCCCAAGGATTAATTAAAAAACCCACCCTCCAGAAATTTATACACGTCCTTTAGCAAAAGCTACTTCATGGATTTGGGATAGAACTGGAGATAAAGTAAGTTATTTTTCCTTGCCAATGACAGACATTGCAAATAATCCAGATCATAATCCAAGTCACAAATCAGAAAGCTTTAAAGATTGAGAGCGCCATGGAATACAAATGATTGGCCAACTATTCTGTAAATAAACTTTTCTAACCTTTTTAGAGATCAAAACTAACTTCTATTGGCCCAGTCTCCTATTGTACTTGAACTTTCAAGTTGGGCATGTTTCTCAACTGTCTAGAAAAGCTGTTTTACAAAGAAAGCTAATGAACAGAAGTGATGGTATCTGGAAACGAAAAATTATAACTCATTTACATCAATCTTTGCAGACAACTTTTGTAATGAAAAGAAAGTCCATAGATGAAACACTTGGAAAAGAATCTGGACAGACAAATTACCACAGAGGAATGGGGTTTGATCTGGAAAAGGGGACCAGAAACCAGAGTCTGTAACACAATAAAAGAAAATGTCTTTCAGATATTGTTTCAATGGTACCTCACACCAATTAGGTTTAAAACAAATAGAGATTAAATGGGATAAATGTTGGAAAAATTGTGGTGAAACAGCAGATTTTATGCATATATGTTGGATGTGTCCTGTCATTAAAGTGTATTGGGATGCAATTTGTAACCAAATATCACAAATTATTGGACATTTATTACCAAATGATCCTTTGGTAATCCTCCTGGGGCTTCCTAGCAGAAATAGTCACACAGAAGGAATTGAAGAATTAATCTCACATCTGCTAGTAGGTGCTAGGCTACAGATAGCCTCCTATTGGAAAAAGAAAAATAATCCAACTCTAGAGGAATGGTTCCAAAAAAATATAGGAGGTAGTTGTTATGGAAAAGTTAACACAATGATGTACCCAGCAAAACAGTAAGAGCACAAATAGATGCTGAGATATCTGATTACCTTGTACTCACTACTCAAAGTACATTGACCTGCAAAAAAAATCCCAACAAAACCATCTGATGTTCTGATGTTTTTTCAGTATTAACATTTGATAGCCATGCCTGGTCTGTTAAATGTATGCAATCAGAGACTTTCCTCAATTTAACAGAATCACTATAAACAACATGTCGGCATAATGTAAAGATGCTCACTCTGCATCTTGGTAACTCCTTGTTAAACAGAGAGATCCAATGATTTAAATGTTTCTCTAATCAAAAGCTCACTGTTGTAATGATTGTTGTATTGTGTCTGATATTTAGATGGCCAAGATTTGTAAACTTGTTAAAATTTTCTAAATAAACAAATAGTTAAAGAGCTCCTTACAGCCATATTGGCCTCTTACTATTTTCTTCACATCCGGATAGTTTACTGTTGTACCCTAAATATTGTTTTTCAGCAACTGCCAACTCTCCCAAATTCCTTTTCCCCTCTTAGGTTTTCTTCCCATGGGATCTACTAGTTCTCTCTGTTTGTTAAACTCTGCTTTTTTTAACCCACTGTCTCTATTCCGCTGCTCTTACTCCTTCCTTTCCTTAGATGATGAAATCTCTCATTTCACAATCACTTTCACCAAAGCTGCCGTCCATCTTTAGATTTGTAACCAACTCCTCCTTGTTGGTCAGAATCAAGTCTTAAATGGCTATCTCCCCATTTACTTCCTCCACCTTCTGAAACAAGAAGTTGTTCCCAACACATTCCAATAACTTATTGTGTTTTCCCATATTACTTTTCCAACAGATATCTAGGTATTTGAAATCCCGCATTACTACCACGTCTTGTGTTTTGGATATTTCTATTATTTGTTCTAGAAATTCCTCATCACCTCCTCTTCCTGATTTAGTTGTCTACAATAGACCCGTACCATGACGTCACTCCTGTTTTTTCCACCTTCTATCTTCATCCAGAGACTTTCAACTGGGCCGCATCCCACCTTCTCCTGGACCTCAGAACAAGTGTATATATTGTTGATGTATAATGTAACAACTGCTCCTTTTTCCCCTGCCTGTCCTTCCTGAACAAGCTCTCCCCCTCTATGCCAATACTCCAGCCATGAGATTTATCCCACCAAGTCTCTGTGATGCCAATTAAGTCATAATTTAGCTTTTGTAATTAGACTTCCAGTTTTTCCGTCTACTCCTCAGACGCCTTACATTTGTGTACTGACATCTAAAATGTTGAGCAGATTCCCCCAATGTTTTCCTTCTTGTTGCTCCTATTGACCCTACTGTAATCTTCCATGTCATCCCCAACTTCCAGCCCCTTGTCAAGGTAAAAAAAACAATTTTTTTTTTAAAATACTTACCCGTTGGTTTTTGTCACCTGCCCCCTTTGAACCTAGTTTAAAGCCTTCTGCACTAGATTGGTGAGTCGGTGTCCCAAAATGCTCTTCCCCTTCATCAGATGGACCTCATCTCTTTCCAGAAGTCCTCCTCCAAGGAACAGAATCCCATGATCAAGAAAGCCAAAGGACTCTTGTCGGCATCATCTGCGTAGCCATGCATTGATCTCCACAATGCATCTGTCCCTGCCTGGGCCCTTTCCCTCAGCTGGCAGGGTGCATAAGACCGCCACCTGTGACCCTGACTCTTTCACCCTCACTCCCAGAGACCTATAGTCACTACTGAGCTGCTCAGGGTCATACCTGGCAGAATCATTAATGCCCACATCTCTGTAAACAAATATGGATGAAATCAAAATGTTAACACTAGAGTCCATCTGTCAAAACACACTCTACATCAAGTTAACTTAATTCTAAAATCATCAGCTTCTGGTTTGTTTACACTTGTATGGATTTAAGATCTTATATCTGACAATTATTTTAAAGGCACGCATGCTTTAAAATATATTCTTCTCTGCTGGCATTTTGTGCTCATTTGTCTTCAGATGTATTATTGAACCAAAATATCTCAAATCCAAGCTTTGTTAATGTCTCCCCCATTGCCACAAAGAAAGGCATCCTGAAGATGGACTGGCACAAACACTATGGAGGAGGACATTTTCCTCAAGGAAACAACTATACGTAGTAAGAGGCTATTGCTGGAGTGTTTCTTTCAAGTAGGGAGGGAGGATGGGTGTGGGAGAGGACCATAGACTTTCATATGGGGAAGTTTCCATAAGTTCAGATAAATATCCAAACTTCTAGATGTTTATCCAAACCATAGATCTCCTTAGGCCTTGAATTAGGATATGAATATGAAAACAACTGAAAATTCACCAAAATGCACACCCAATCTCACTGGCAGACCACAGTTCCCCTTCTCCTCCACCCTACCTGCTTTACTTGAAAAATCTTTCAAGGAAAATGTTACAAAACACTGGCAACAATTCTTGGGCACAGCGAATAAAGTGTTATAAAACCACCCGCCAGAATGTAAAGCCTTGGTAAAGCCTTAGTTTGAAAACATACATTTCTAGGGAAAAACGAAATGATTATTTAGTGGGTAGCTTTGGTGGGGCAAGATGAAAAAAGTGACTTTGAAAATGCCTGCTATTGTACATGGCTAGTCAGTTTAGCTGTTAATTCTCAGCTGAGGGCCCAAAAATTCAACAACAAAGAGGAAAAAAAAATGTAGAAAAAAAATCAGCTTGGGCATCACTGAATCCTACCCAACGACCTTTAAACAATCCTCCAAGATACCAATGAGGTTAAAACAAAATGTACTGTATTCACCAGTATATTTTGCAACACTACAAAAAGTTTAAAACCTGACATGATAAAATCAATATCAACACAAACATATTTTCACAAAGGGAAGGAACATTTCAAACAAGCAGAACATGTAATAGAAAATTATTTTAAAAATTATCCTTAGCCACTTTGTATAATTCACTCTTCCAAATTTAACTGTAGATCTTTAAACCATCTAAAAACTTGGCAGCAGCTTTACACACATTTTATGGACAGCGTGTTACTCAAGATGTACGTAGTAGAAGTATTTATTAAGCTTGGGAAACCTAAGTAAATTCTGGTAATAGCAGTCCAAGATCAAAATGTTTTGTGACTGAAGCCAAGTTTTCAAATGTTGATGCCTTAATAAGACACCAAAATCTTGCCTTTGAACACTCAAATGATCAAGAAACATGTTCTCTGTATTTGGACTTCAGGCAGAAATTCAGTCAGTAATTTATCCATTCATTTATTTCCCCAGTGTATATTGTTTACTGTCTCTCACTGGTTTAGATTTTGAGCTCTGAATTTTGTATCTAAATAAAATAAATAAATAAATAAATAATAATAAAAAAAATAAACCGTTTACTATTGTCAGCATGTCAATAAATAATACCATTTTACTGAAAGTTGTTGAAATTAAAAACAAGTGTGTACATTAGTTGTAAATATGACTGACTCATGGCATAGAACCAGACCTTCATTATTCAAAACAAAACAAACAAGAATATATAATTTTTTAAAGTACCTGTAGATTTTCTAACGGAGTCTTTTTTGAAAGTTGGACTTCTTTTTCCATCTGTCCATTTTTCTAGAACAAGCTTTTCCTCTCTATGTATGTCCATATGGAAACTTTCAGAATTCTTCTCAGTCTCAACTTCTTTGCAGCTTGGTGTACAGTCTCCACTGTCCACATTTTCATTATTATTGATACTGTCCTGCTCAACCTTTTCATGCATTCCCATTGCACTGTCACTGCTGGTCAGGACCTCACTCCTGTCACCATCAAGTTGATTTTCATTTTCATCAGATGAAGAAGCCAAACGAGTTCCCACATTTCCCACACTGTCACCAGCATGAAGTCTGTCCTTTAAGTCTATCAGTAGATCATTTGTAGGAAATTCTCCGTCATCCATTAGAGCGCCCTTTGTTGAACAGCTTAAACTCTGTCAAAACGATTTTTAGGTCTAAAATATAAAATCAGGAAAAATATTAACAAATATGGAAGAGAGGGTCTTTATGTCTAATTTCAGCCAATATAGAATTAAGCTAGCCAAGGTATGTATTCCTGAAAAATTTTAAGAGGCCCTTAAATACAGCAGCACTACTGCCACATCACAACACATATAACAAAATTTCTCTACATGTTAAAACCATATTAATGTCATTGTCAATACTGGTCTGGAAGACAGGAGGCTACATTGTGGGCCTTTTTACTGGAATCAATTATATATTTGTATGTACATGTGTGTACTCCACAGTAGTATTCACAATATTATCAGTAACTAGGAAATAAACTCCTTATCTAGATTTTTAAACAAATAAAATGAAACAATTTTTGTTGAATAAAGAGATGTGGATCGGCTGAGGTAAAAAAAGGCCGGTGAGGAATAAAAATGGTGGGAGACAAACAAGAGAACTCCTATTCTGCCAGACATATCATCACTTCAGATATGCAAAAGAGCACTGTTACAACAGTTAAATATACAGGAAAATTGTTTACTGAATTAAATTATCACATTGTTTTCAAGAGAACATTAAACATATTTTCAGCACACAAAGCAGCAGATGGAGCTTTAAGAAACAAGCCCCTCCCCCATAACTCAGGTAAATTTTGCCTTTTTGTGCATACATAGTTTCAATGAATGCTGAAATTAAATTGATATGTGCAACAAGGCAAAAGTAGACCCCAACAAGAGAAAGTTGTACTGTTCTTACTGAGGTAATTCTACATTTGTATTGACTGCTTACTTCTTTGGCTTTTACAAGCATCGCAGTGCTGATGACCTAAGTTACCAAACCATCATAATGATGCATCACTACAATACATACACAGTATAAAAATAATCTGAAGTGTTTAAATAATAAACTTAAAAATGCACTGCACACTTGTATTAAAGCAAAGTTTAGAAAAACTTCCAAACATTTTAAGGACAAAAAAAAAAAAAAGAAGACATTTTACAGAACAAGCCGTAAGCAGAATATTTTATCCAGATTTACGTAATGGCCCTAAAGAAATCAACATTTCAGATGAAATACAGACTTAATAAAGTGTGCCTATGATTTTGTTTTGCTTTACTTTTAAGTACTTTTCAGTGGAACAAAAGATTGAATGGCGCCTAAGGAACCCTAGATTTAAAGAGAACACTGGTAGGGTCAAATTGCCTGGCACAAGAAGTTGTAAATACTGACATCATGTGCCACCAAGACCTCATGCACACCACTGAGTACTGAACCTGAGGGAAAGGAGGTAGTTTTCTAACTGTCACCGGCCCTTTAGGCACTCTCAATTGGGGGGGGGGGAGGGGAAGAGGGAGGGAAGGAGGGCAAAAAGCAGATGACCATAGGCAGTAGAGGCTACCAACGGGATTATGTTGAAGCACCATATACACCAGGCTACTTAATTTAATTACAAATTCTTAATTTGTAATGAAAGAGGTGCTGGGGCTCAAGCAATTTTTTTTTACAATCATAACTGATGCAGCAAGCCCACAGCTGGGATGCTTTTGTTTGCGTGTAACCTTTAAGCTGAACCCCAAGAAAGCTATTTTGGGTGCTTAATTTTTTGGAATTGCTCTTTTAAAATCTAGCAAAAGCCTAAATTCCAGATTTATTTTCTTCCTTTTTGTTTTTAATAAAATTTACCTTTTTTAAGAACAGGATTGGATTTTGGATGTCCTAAGAGGTTTGTGCATATACTGTTTGATTAGCTGGTGGCAACAGCTAATTTTCTTTGTTTTCTTTCTCAGCTCTTCCCCAGAGGAGGGGGGTGAAAGGGCTTGAGGGTACCCCACTCGGAGGAATTCCCAAGTGCTCCTTCCTGGGTCCAAGGGAGCTTTTTGCATTTGGGTGGTGGCAGTGTTTACCAAGCCAAGGTCAGAGAAAAGCCGTAACCTTGGGAGTTTAATACAAGCCTGGAGTGGAAAGTATTAATTTTTAGAATCCTTGCGGGCCCCCACCTGAGCTTAAAGGTTACAAGCAAACAAAAGCATCTGGGGTTAGCACAGAGGAGTCCATAAGCCTTAAATATAAACAGAAATAAACCTAATCACGTCTTTCTAAACATTCCTAATTTACTTAGATACTTGGGTTGTTAAAAGTAGTTCTAGATATGATTGGATGATTTTCATATCTGGTTTCAAACTTTACAGAGCATTCCTAGTGACCCGTCTCTTCAGCCCAGAGAGAACAACCACAGACAAAGGGTAAGTTTTTTCCCCAGTTTTTAAAGTTCTAGCCTTCCCATTGGCTCTTTTGGTCAGGTGCCCACTTTCTTTTCTTTACCTGGGGGACTTTTTAACCCTTTACAGGTAAAGCAAGTAGAGAACAGCTACCAAGAAGGATTTTACAGCTAACTGGCTGGCTGGGTGTCCATCAAAGGGAGCTACTCCGCCCTTCATTTATCACAGGGGCTATGAACTGCCAAGCCAAGTTTTATATTCAAACACTAAAAGCTTGTTAAAAGCTTTAGAAATACTATCAAGTACACAGTTCAAATCAGAGATTATCTCAATTAGTTCTATCCTTCCTATTAACTGAAAAACTGTTTTTAAAATGTCTAACCAAAGAAAGCCAGTGCACACTGCAATCATTAACAAACAAAAGTCACAGCATTATTCCATGAATATTTTAATACTTAGCTTCTTCCATTTCAAAGGGCTTTACAAATATTAAATAATTCTCATAACAGCATATAAAGCAGGTAAGTACTATTACCCCCTTTTCACACATGGGGACACTGAAAGTGGCTTGCCCAGCATCAAAAAGGAATCACTGTAAAAGCTATGATTAAAATTTAGATACAGGATTTGTGAAATTATCTCCCTCCAATAATTTGTAAACCTTGTTTCACAATGCTGGGACCTACCAGATCAAAGGGATATAAACAGTTAGTGTTTTGATTCCAGGGTGCAGTGGGAATGGGAGGGAGGCAGTTGTCAGAAGCAGTTCAGGGGACAGGCTGACACAGAAAGAGGCAGGCGCTAGAGAGGAGCCTATGGGCCTTCTCATACGCAGGGCATGGTAAGTGTTAGAGAAAAGCAAGCATTACATTTTTTTCTTAAATGCTTTTGTTCTAAATAAATTATACTTTGCTTTAAGAAAGCTGTTTGGTTACTCGATACCACTATCATGCCCCTGAAGGGAACAGAACTGCAGGGTCTGAGCCAAAGCCAGACCTGCTGCAGTGATCATGGTTGATATAAAGGGGACTGCAAGTCAGTACCCAGTTTAAGAGTGGGAGAATCATGTGATTCTGCCCTGAGAGAGGTAAAGGCACGAGGCCTAACACCTGACGAGGTACATGTGACGTTGCAGTCTATACGATTTTATAAAAATATACTAATGAGTGAATATAATGTAACTGGAATATGCTTCATGCAAAAGGTCTCTTGAAAGGTATCATTACAAAGCTTATAATCTACTGAGTGTGTTCATCCTATTTCTATAAATGTATCACTCTTGTATCTAAAACTAGAAATATGAAATATAACTCTGAGGGCCTATTGTAAGTATGCAAAGTGTGGGCAATTAATGGTGGTTTGGAATCTTGATGGCTCCCATCAACCAGGACAATTGACTATGGATGGCTCTGTTTGCAGGCAAGCCTTCCTGTGAGTCAGGCTGGGAGGAATGAAGGCTTGGGGTCTTACAGTAACATGTGATCATGTCACCTGAACTAAAATCCATCTTTAACCTAGTGCTTTTCCATTGAGAAGGTCGGGGGTGGGAACGCAGAGGGACAAAGGATTTCCACCTTATGCAAAAGATATAAATGGGTGGAACAGAGGAGCCATCATGAAGAATCTTCTAGCTACCGCCTGAGCTGGAACAAGAGCTATACCAAGGGAAAGAATTTTGCCCAGGCCTGGAAGGTGTCCAGTCTGAGGGAAAAAAAAAAAAAAAAAAAAAAAACTTACTGAAGCACCTCTAAAAGGGTGAATTATCTGTATTCAGTTTGATTAGACATAGGTTTGCGTGTTTTATTTTATTTTGCTTGGTAACTCACTTTGTTCTGTCTGTTACTACTTGGAACCACTTAAATCCTACTTTCTGTATTAATAAAATCACTTTTAACTTATTAGTTAACCCGGAGTATGTGTTAATACCTTGGGGGGGCAAACAGCTGTGCATATCTCTATCAGTGTTATAGAGGGCGAACAATTTATGAGTTTACCCTGTATAAGCTTTATGCAGGGTAACACGGATTTATTTGGGTTTAGACCCCATTGGGAGTTGGGCAGCTGAGTGTTGAAGACAAGAACACTTCTGTAAGCTGCTTTCAAGTAAGCCTACAGTTGTTAGGGGACGTGATTCAGACCTGGGTCTGGGTTTTCAGCAGGCTAGCGAGTCTGGCTAAAACCAGGCAGGGCACTGAAGTCCTAAGCTGACAGGGCAGGAAAGCAGGGGCAGAAGTAGTCTTGGCACATCGGGTGGCAGCTCCCAAGGGGGGTTCTGTGATCTAACCCATCACAGTACACTCAGAGAAACCAAGAGGGGTCAACAGTGCAGTTAGCTCTGTCACACATGGAACATCTGGTTGATGATCTAAACCTTAAACAACTAGGAGTTCACTCATCTTATACTGCATAACAATTTATTTCCAGACTTCACATGCTTGTCTTCTGATCTTTTCAACACCATTATTATTGTATTTGTCATTATATATTTATTAGAAATAACTGAAATTTTAAACTAAAGAATAAAATCAGACGTGTCCAAGAAACTGCATTTGATCTGCATTTCTGAAGTTCTTTGTTACATTCTGCATATTTTTTCCTTCCTCTTAAATCTTCACACTTAAGTTTTCTCCAGAAAGCTTCAGTTCCTCTTTCCCTATCCCCACAAGGGCAAATTTTATTACATCTCTGGGCTTCACTCCAAATTAAGAAATCCAAGATTAGACACTGACTGAAGTTACCTAAAGGAAAGAGGAATGGTGAGAAGGAGAGTGGAGTATTAAGTGTAC